TTCTATCCCTAGTTTGCTGAGAATTTTGTCAGCGGCTGCCTCTGCGTCAATCAATGTGATCATGCAGTTTCTCTGCTTCACACTGTTAGTATGACGGGATTGCCTAAGGGCTGGGAATGAGAAAATGGAGAAAAGGAAAAAAATTAAAAGAGGGCTAGGGGATTTCCCCTATTCTCTCTGAGCATTCACAGACCCCTTTCTCTCTCTTCGAGCCAGGCTTTTCCTGGAGCTCTGTTAATGCATGTATTCACTCCCAGATTTGGGCTGCCATGAGTCCAGGCTGGGAGATAATAATAATGGAGGGAAAAAATGGTAAACTCACTGCTAGTTTGGTGATCATTCAAGTTCTTTACTTCCCCAAATCTCCCAGCTACTGTTTATGTTTTAGAGTTCTTAAATAGCTGCTCCACTTATTTTGTCCACATTTAATAGCTGCACTTAGTAGGAGAGAGGGGGTGCAGTATGCTTAATCTAAGTCTCCTACAGTGAACCTTTTTTCCCCCTTAATCTACAGGCATATTATTAGGCCGACTTGCTGACTTATATAATCTTTAAGTTTGAAGAATTTAGTCTAATTTGAGATCACATGATGTATTTAGGTATTGTGATGCAGATATTTTCTATTTAAGTACAAGCAATAATTGGTGTAAGTGAGAAGTACATAAAATTACATTATAAGAATATTTCTAAACTGATCTGTTTCCTAAGAATTTATCTCTTTGACCATATTTTATTATAATGTGTTTTGAAACACTATGTGTCGAATTCAAATCAAGTTTAAATATTGAAACTTCTAGAACTAGCAATACCACATTAATCAGCTCAGTGAGATGCCGGTGTACCCAGCAAGGTGCCTAGGTGGAGGTTCCACTGGAAGGCTGGCAATGAGATATGGAGAGATGAGAGAAGATGTAGACCTGGTGAAGCTGTGGAGACATGTGAGGTCACTTGAGAAAACAGAATTTTAGGAAATGCCCATATTGTACAGAAGAAAAGAGGAAAGGGGGAAGAGGGAGGAGACCTTAGGTGTGCAGGAGTGTGCAGGCCACCAAATGCCAGGAAGAGTATGCAGTGCGTGCAGGAAGGGGTGTCGTGCAGGACAAGGCAGGAGCAGTGCCATCATCATGTCATTCAGTGACCTTGGAGAATGGTAAGGAAGTGTAGGAACAAGAAAACCAGGAGTAATAGCCCTACCGAATATGTAAATAATAATAGGAATAATATATATATAAAAGACAAGGATCCATATTATCTTTTAATTCTATTTTTTCACGAACTTTTTGAAGTACTCTCATACATAAAATGAAAATAGGAAAAATATTCCCACTGAACATATAAAATAATATTTTACATATACATTTTAACTCTAGTTTTAAATTCCTAGACCGTAAGGGCAATAGTAATATATCTTTATCACCCATAACACTCTGCACACAGTAAGCATCCAGTTAAGAGTTCTGTGCATGTGGGTAAGTAACATCCTGTTACTAGTGGTATCTGTGTGCTTAGCTCTGACTAAGAACCTGCATGGATTGTTGGATGAGGCTGGCAAAAGGTAGAGGTGGAATGTCCTGTT